AAAAGTAAACAAAAATTTTAATAGTTTTTTTAAATTTATGTGAAAAATAAAATGACACTATGAAACAGAAGGAATACTTGGTTTCTATATATTGTAAACCAGATAAAAAATAATTGAACCAAAACTAAACAAGAATCTCCATTGAACACCATCCAAGCTACAATGCTTCAGACAATTTATATATACAAACAGATCCCAACCCCAAACTCTAATGCAACAAGACTGTAAACGTGTTAACAAAAAAAATATAAAACCAAGTCACTATAGCTTATGTATAGCAATAAATCCAGATATGAATGCTAAATCTGACAAGGAAGATAAGATATCTCTGCTTAATTGTTGTTATGAGCAGCAGGTGTAATCTCATCTTTTGTCTCCCCTGCGTTGTTTCTTGTTAACCTGCTGAGCTGAATGCCTGCAAAACCTCCACCACCACCAGCTCCAGGAGCAGGACCAGAACCAGAATCAGGATCACTAGGAGCAGCCTGAGAGCTTCCTTCGTTCCCATTACTAGCTGCAGCAGCTTTTAGCTCTCTCTTGTTCTTCACTTTCTGCGCCCAACCAACAAGACCAACCTGCACATTCTCCTCAAATATCGCTTTCTTGTAGTTACTTCCCATCTGTTGCAGAACATAAGAACATGATCAGTTATTTATTCAGACAGAATTAGAAAACAACAAAACCAAAAGACTCTGAAGCCTTTTTTACCTGTGAGACAAGGGCATAAAGAGGCAGTGTACTGTAACTGCAAAGCACTTGAATGAAGACTCTACAGAGGAAAAAAACATATTAGTAAACACAGAGATATGTTCACTGAAACAGTGTATACAAATCTTTTTGCTTACCCGATAACCAATCGTGGAACAATGTATCTCACTTGTCCCATAATGCACGAGTCAAATCCATATGTAACCTACAAAACATACTTTGTAATAGTCTAAAACCAATTTTCAGGTGAGTTTTGTTTTTCATCATGAATAGAATCTGTCTTTTGACGTACCCAAATCCAAAAGAAGAAGGCAATCTCGAAAGCATTCTGGAAGAGGATGAAATGAATCAAGAAGAGAACAACTTGAGGTTTGCTGAACCAGAAATGCTCATCTGATGGTTTCACCACTAAATCTCCTTCAATAGCTACATGTTTCTCTGCAACCTCATGAGCTAACTGTGATATCACATGCTCCAACTTTGTTCCCACAGCAAGAAGCAGCTTCAAGTTTTCAAAGACAGAAGATTCAGCACGTTCCAATGAAACAAAATGGGAAAAAAAAAACAAATTGACTCACAATGAAGGGAATGAATGCTATCCAGAAGTATGTGTGCCATCCTACAAGATGCAGAAACATAGCTTCAATATAAAACGTAAGCAAAAAATCGTCTTTTCATTTAGTTTTGTGTGAAGCATTACCATTAACATTAAGCAGCAAGAAGATGACGACAAAGATCCAAAGATACCAACTAATACCAACAACTTGTTTGAAATCATCCTCAAGAGCTCTCATCATGTACTTGTGGAAGTTAAGCTTAGGACTTCCTTTACAATGAGTCTGTCAATACCAAACACACACATGTTACAATAAAAAGATCAAATCAAAGTTATGTAAACAAACTTTACCATGATGAAACCAAGGCGCAGAGTCACGTAATCTGCTTTGGTCACAGATCCATAGAACTGCTTGAAAAATGATTGCTGTAATGTTTAAAAAATAAACATAAACCTCAACATCTGTGTAGTTCCAAAGGAGAAAACAAGCTTTGTAATTTTATATAAATAATAAAACACATACCGTCCATCCGAGGAAGAATGAATCTTTACCAATGCCAAGAAAATGCTCTTTGATAAAAGCATGTTGGTGTACATGAGTGACCTTTCTTCTCTTCTTAAGAGCTGCTTCTGTGTCAAAACTCTCGTCTGCAAGCGCATCCTCCCACTTCTTCCATTGGTGGATCTGCATTATAATAGACAAACATGAATAAAATGAAACCAACACACACACCTGAGAGATATTCACATTAAATTGACAAAAACTATACGGTTTTAGCTCACCCTAGTGCTTCCAAAAACCACAGTGAGAGCACAGAATGTCACATGGGAAATGGCGAGGACGAAGATGAAGATGTGTAGATGGTGCAACGCCTCAAGGGAAAGCAACGGTACTTTATCCTAAAAAGAGAAATAAAAACAAGAATTAGCAAGATTATCATAATGAGCACAAAACGTCTTTTGAATCTATACCTTTTGGCCACAGTAACCAGCTTCAGCAGCAGCATGTTCAGCTAGTAGACGCCTAGTGGTTCCAACAATAGGGAGAAAGGACTGAAAATGTTCTGTTGTTGTCGCGTTTTTGTGTTTACTCGCCTCAGTTTCATGTTTGGAACATGGAAGCATGTGCATTAGCACATCCTCTTTCACACAGAACTTGGAGATGAATCCTTGTGTTACAGTTAGTAACAAAGATATGAACCCTAACAACATCAACTCTGCAAAATGTAAGCCAAAGCAACACCAATAAGAAAGACAATAGATAAGTAGTAAAGATTTATACTTTTTAAGACTCTAAAACTATATTTTTCTGGGTCCAACAATTAGACTAAGTTTTGATCTGACAAGAAGTTATTCCGAGGAACAATTCCATCTGACCGTGTCAGGTTAAATGGGAAAATAATACGCCTCAGGTCCTAGCTTCCTAAGCTACTTATCAGACCATTTATTGTCCACACTAAAACTACATCAACTTTGCCACACAGTTCCCTAAAAGATATGAACCCTAACAACATCAACTCTGCCAAAAGAGTATGAGCCAAAGAAACACCAATAAGACAATAAATGAGTAGTAAAGATTTATACTTTCAAGACAAAAACTACATATCAGACAATTTATACTCCACACTACAAGTACATCAACTCTGCCAATATGAATCACTGTTCCCTAGAAGATATGAGCCTTAACAACATCAACTCTGCAAATTATGAGCCAAAGCAACACCAATAAGAAGAGAAACATAAGTAGTAAAGGTTTATACTTTTAAGACTCTAAGCTACTTATCAGACAATTTGTTGTCCACACTCACTATCTACATCAACTCGGCAACATATGAGCCAAAGACAATAAATAAGTACTAAAGATTTGTGTTTCAAAAAAAATAAATGTAGTAAAGATTTATACTTTTAAGACACTAAACTACTTATCAGACACTAAACTACTTATCAGACACTGAGACACTATGTTATTTATCCACGCTAACTACATCAACTAATCTGTCACTATGAATAACTGTTCCTTAAAAGAACCAAAGAAAAAGTAAAGATTTGATTTTTATTACCTTCTTTAACTTTTTGAAGAGCTTCGTAAAGGGGTTTCTGCTTCTTCTTCTTGAGAACAGTACCGAAATGATGAAGCAGACGCTCCACGGCCAGAGAGATCGCGACGATGATGGTACAAACTCCGGCGACGACCCACGTCGGAGTGAATTCAAGAGACACTCCTTCTCCATGACCACCCATTTCTCAGATTTTGTTTTCTTTATTTTACCTGAAAAGGAAAGAGAATTATGAGAATGGAAGTTCGATCTGGGAACAAGACAAAGGAACAGTCTTGTTGTCTCTCTACCTGTGGGGAGGAAGAGGAGAAGATTAATGTGTTTGAGTGTGAGAGATGAGTGTTGCTAATTTATTCTCTAATTCTTTATATAAATAAATAAATATTGATGGTAATTAAAATCTTTACATTCTTGGTAAATTATTCCTAATTCAGTAATTAATTTAAACAAAGCTTTGCGGGAAATTAGGAAACGCGTTTTAACTTTCCAGTTTCCCACATTTTATACACATCTATATATATTCGTTTATATTCCATGACCATGTTGTATTCACACACACGTTGATTAACTAATTGAGAGATTACTAAGTGACAAAAACTAATTGAGAGATTACTCAAAACATATATAACTATATTCTAAAAAAATTAGTGATACTGAAATTTGTAATTTTCCTTTTTAAATGGATATTTATGATGTGTTTAGGATTAAAATTAAATTTCTATATTTTCATTGATTATTTATCGTATTCAAAATAGCTGGATATCCAGTACTAGATTCCACTTGTCAGAGAGGTCGCTGTCTGACTCATGTGCTTACAAACTCATCACAAGACTTTTAGCCAGATAATAAATCCCTTGTTTTAACCACTCAGATCTGTTATGGATTAATGTCTTTTTCACATTAAATAGTGATTATTTTGAAAATGTTATGTATGTGATTAACCACTTTGAATAGCTTAATAAATAAAGGGTAGTCTTATTTTATGAAATAAACTAGGATAATTTTCTCAAATATATCTTTTAAGTTTTTATCGTAAAAATAGATTTTAAAAATTAAAATAACCAAAATACATTTTATTTTTAAAATTTTAAATTTTTATTTTAAAATTTTAAATTCTATCCTCGAAACTCTATTCAACTCTAAACAGAAAAAATTAGGATTATTTAACTCAAAGGATATAAATATATATTTTATTACTTTTAATAAAATATTTTAATTTATTTTGATCATTCATATTTTTAAATTTTATATTTGTGACAAAAAAATTTGGGTATAGAATCATAAGAAATTTCTCAATAAACTATCATAACTGAAAATAACATATTACGCCAAATAATGACAGGAAGGCCCAAGTTTAGAAGAAGAAAATTAAGAAGGCCCATTACAATAGTAAGCCCACTTAGTTATTGCTTCTGGAAGGTAAAGTAGACAATGGCAAAACTGAAATAATATCAAAAAGCAAGGACCTTTACTTAAAAAGATAATTTTTTATAAACAGAGCATAAAGTTTACACCTTTCTTCTACTCCTTTCTCGTCTCTGTCCTCTTCGTCCTCATTCATTTCAAAAGCATCAATCAACCAAACAAAGTAACCTTTTTCCTTGTACCCATTCCCATGTAAGGTTTTCTTACAACTCGCTAATCATAACTCACCGTGACTCGTCCGAGTTAAAACCCAAATGGCTAGTAACAACAACAACAACCCTCATGAGAATCTCTCAGACCAAACACCTTCTGATGACTTCTTCGAGCAAATCCTTGGTCTCCCCAACTTCTCTGCCTCTTCATCCGACGGTGGGTTAGGCGGAGGAGGAGGAGCACCGCCGATGATGCTGCAGTTAGGTTCCGGCGAGGAAGGTGGAGGTCATCACATGGGTGGGTTAGGACCAAGTGGGTTTCATAACCAGATGTTTCCTCTAGGTTTGAGTCTTGACCAAGGGAAAGGACATAACTTTATTAGACCTGAAGGTGGTCTTGCAAGTGGTGGGAAACGTTTCTCTGATGACGTCATGAAACCTGTAAGCTTTTGTTGTTTTGCTTTTAACTGTGTTCTGTTACAGTTTCTTGTGCGCCGGCTTTGAGAATTATGGGGGGGGGGTCTAAGGCGATTTTTGAAAGATTTCACCTAAAAAAAATTTTCCTACGAATTTGGGGGCTTAAAATTTTTTTTTTGGGGTCAGTATACATGTAAATTTTTCAAAAAAATTTGGGGGCCGAGGCTAATGTTTCATCCGGCTTTGCCCAACGCCGGCCCTGTTTGTGCAAAATGGTTTTTGTGTCCTTTTCATCGATTTCTTACATGTTTTTGTGTTGTTGTTGTAAGGTTTTTCATGGGCAACCAATGCAACAGCCAGCACCAGTGGCGCCACATCAGCCTACTTCAATCCGGCCTAGGGTTCGAGCTAGGCGTGGTCAAGCTACTGATCCACATAGCATAGCTGAAAGGGTAAAGTTTTCTGATGTAAAAAAAATGTTATCTTTATGGAAAGATAAGGTGAAAGATTTGAACTTTGTTACAGCTTCGTAGGGAAAGAATAGCGGAACGGATCAGGGCGTTGCAAGAACTTGTACCTACTGTTAACAAGGTTGGTGTATCTTTCATCTAGAGGTCTTGAAGGTTTTGGTAACATTTAGAGTTCTTGAAGTTGGTTCTCTCTTATCTTTATTTGCAGACAGACAGAGCTGCTATGATTGATGAGATTGTGGACTATGTAAAGTTTCTCAGGCTCCAAGTTAAGGTATCACATTTAGTCTGTATTATTATAACAACCAATCTTGAAGTGACTGTTTTCTTTTGTTTTTGCTTTCTTGTTCGTTCATAGGATTAGAGATCTGAAAATCATGTTTTTGAAGTTATTGAGTGATGTTTAAATTCTCCAAATGGATTTTTGGTCATAATATGATGGTCCCACTACCATCACCTACTCTTCAACTTAATTTCAATTTTGATTAGATTGATTTTTTTTAATGTGGGGATAAACAGGTCGAGATGATTTTGTTTTTCTTTGGCATTTAGTCTCTCTTTTATTTACTTTTTGTTTTGTCATATAGAAGGCTAATCACGGGTTATGATTAATTTAAACGTTATAAAACATCTAGTGCAATCATCATGATTATAATATAATCTCTTAGTTCAAACGCTTCTTAATATCAAAATGCAGTAGGTTGCTTAAAGCTCTTTGTCAAGCTAAAAAGGATGTCTTTCTTTACTTTAAATAGATAATGGAGACACTAAAGAAATAGTATGTAATGATGGATTCTTGATAAGATAATAAAAAAAACTTTTATTTGAGTTTTTATTTTCATGGGCTAAAGCTTATCACTTTGAATGATGATTTGTATCTCTCTATGGTCAACTTTTGGTAGGTTTTGAGCATGAGTCGTCTTGGTGGAGCCGGTGCAGTTGCTCCACTTGTTACTGACATGCCTTTGTCATCATCAGTTGAGGTAAGAAAAAATAAACAAACTTTTTAAAGAGAAAATATTACAACTTTGGTAATGGGTTTTGACTTAAACTGCTTATTGTAATCTCTCAATAGGATGAAACTAGTGACGGTGGAAGAACACCGCAACCTGCGTGGGAGAAATGGTCTAACGATGGCACTGAACGTCAAGTAGCTAAACTGATGGAAGAAAATGTTGGAGCAGCGATGCAGCTTCTTCAATCTAAGGCGCTTTGTATGATGCCAATCTCATTGGCTATGGCTATCTACCATTCTCAGCCTCCAGATACATCGTCGGTGGTCAAGCCTGAGACTAATCCTCCTCCACCTTAGGATTTTTTAGTGGAAGTGTGGGTTTGTACAGCAATCCAACATGGCTTTTGCTTTCTACTGCTGCTCATGGATATGTTGTCTTGCTGTTTCATCTCGCTCCCACAACATCCACTTGTTTGGTCTGATTGAATAAAAGGAAAAAGGCTTTGGAGATGGAATCAATGTAGGATTTGCAGTAGAAGTAGAAGGGAGGATTTGTCAAAAAGCTCACTTGATTAAATATGATTTGTTATCATTATTTTCTAGGTGGACTTTGATGAAAGCAGCTTTATGTTTTCATGACTTTAGTGGGAGGTTGAGGAAGAGCTTGAAAGGGTATTTTAGTAGTAGTAGTGGTAAGTGTGTGGGACCTTGTTGAATTTTATGTACACATTGGATGAAAAATAAAAGTATTTGATTATGCTAAGTTAACCGTGTAATATTGTTATTTATTCTGTATGAATTGGAGTGATGAAGTAACCCAAAAACAATGTTGTTAGTGTCCAAAAACATATCTATAGTTTTTAACAATAGTTTTTATTAAATCAATTTCATAAAAGTCTTCGAAGTAAGATGATGATGACAAAAGAAGATGCTTTTGGCCATTCGTTTAAAATGATGACAAAGAGTATGCAAACTCAACTTCATGCTATAGGCTTCAAACATCACTATAGCCTTTCTGCATTATTGAACCACAGAGAACCAGCGGTTTAAAGAACTTAGCTTAGCAAGCGTCAAGATCACGGAACTGTGGTGGCTTTGGCTCCCCTAGCAGCGTAGTGTTTCCTCCTTCAGGTCCACACTTGATCCTCTTCGAGTTTTGAGTTCCATGCTGTAACAAAACATTACATACGTAATTTAAAAGTTAGATTTGGATTTTGAATTCCAAACTGACACTTTTTTTGCTACACAAAAACCAAATAAGAACTGAAAGGAGACCGTATAGAGAAACCTTTGGACCGTTACAAGACTGATTGAATGGTACGAGGATAACATCAGGAAAGTATTCAAACGCCATGGGTTTGTAAAATGTCTTACCGGTGGTTTTTCTCCTTTTCTCAGCTTCTCAACGATCTCTACAACTTTCTCAGGTGTAACGTCTTCCTGTGTATTGTAGCAATAAGACGGTGTAAATACGGTTCTACGCTTTGTCGTTTTGCACAACAAAAAAGAAGGAAGGAGAAAGAAAAATTATTTGATGAGATTTAGACATACGAAATAGTTGTATGTATATCCTTCCGATCCATTGGAATAATCAGCCACAGTAATCATGGGCGCATTCACACAGCATCCCTATATTCATAACCAATTACATGAGACCTTTACTGTATATTTCTTTGGTACCTATCAAAGTGATAAGAAATACAAACCATGCATTCCATCTCTCCAACAGAGAACAAACCATCCTTTGTGACCTCTGCAACATACATAATATAAGGCCAGATATCGTTATGACTGAGCAACCTTATGATATTTTGTTTACGAAAGGTTGGTTACAGAGATTTACCACCGCGTTTAACTCCCAAATGGTCTAGCAAAGCTGATTCAATATCTCGTGAACCACGGATCATGCAAGGTGTTGTGCCACAAACTAGCAGGTGGTACTTTCCGACCTGTAAGAGCAAAATGAAAAATGAGTGTGCGATGTGTGTTTTATAAAGTACAGTAGAGACTCGAATATATGGGTAAGTAAGTACCTTTGCCCTGTTGAACATTGAGTAAAATGTTGCAACCTCATAAACACGGATAGGAGCAACGTCTATAACTTTCGCCACCTGCAAATTTTTTGTTGTATTTGTCAGAACAACGCCCCCACTTCACAAATTCACATACCTTTCATTAAGTAAGCATACAGCTGAAAAAGTAGTTACAAACAAAAAACGTACGGCATTCATTGCTGAAACAGGGAGCCAGCCACCATGCTGTTGTTGTGCAAGATCTAGAAGAGGGATCACTGCAGACTGCTTGTAGTTTGATGGATAGTAAGAGAGTATCTCCTTAACCTAGAGAGTTTAAACAAACTATAAAAACGACAGAACATTTGGATGCATGGTAACTAGATTTCACTTCCTACGCAAGATTACTGCAAGTCATGACAGAAGCATTAAAAGGAAACAAATACATTAATTATTTAACTCCACAATACCGATTTTACTAATTTTCCAACAGTCACCAACAGAGTTGGATGATCCGTATCCAATTAAAGTATTTTGTTAGTGACTGAGTCTCCCTTATGTTCCTAAATTTCAAAACTCAAAGAATGTAGGCACAAACAGCAATCCGAAAATCCCAATTCTTTACCGTTTAACTATCCTTTCTAGGAACAGTAACTCACGTTGCCTAATGAGAAGCCAAGAACTATGTTAGTCAGGATAAAAAAAAACCATTCTTTTTAACTCTTTCTACTCTCTGTACAAAGGCAAATGAAACCTATTCGGAGCTGCTTCTAGTCTGTGTGTTTTATGGAACCTACAGCTAAAGATTCCAAATTTTCTCGATATATATACTGTTCTTAACACTATAAACATCGAAAACTATGTAACAAAGGTGACAAAATTACATTACAAAAAGACAAATTCGAATCAGTATTGGCAAAATCCCCAATTCGCTCAACAGTCAACACATTTTAATTTTTTTCGGCATTGTCATTAGCAAGAAGAGGTGATTGATTCAGTTAGTGACTGACCTTAGATTTGTTGGCCTCAGAAAACTCCCAAGGAAGATCCGGTTTGTTATCAGGAGAATCCAGGTGCTATAAAATTAATCGAATCAACAACAAAAAAATCAGATTTAAATTCAATTTCAAATTAGAAGAAGTAAACGAATAGATTAATGAAAGACTCACGTAATTTAAGGCTGTTGAAAAGCTACGAGACACCTGTGAAAGATACAAAACGAAACCTGAGGATGAGATCGGGAAACGGCAGTGATAAAGCGAGAGGGTGAAGGAACATTTGAGTAATACCTGAGTTGGTGGTTGACGGAAAGCTTGACGGATCTCGAGAAGACGCTTCGCTGCAAGCCTACCCAGCATTTTCGAAGATTCTGAGAACACTGGAGGGAGACGCTCCTTTTTTGATCTGAGGAAGAAGAAACAGAGAAACCAAAGGAGCTAGACTCTGGTTATCTCACCAAGTATCATCCCCCACTACCTGGCGCACCATTGACCACAAGGTTTTGGGCTTTTACATTTAAGCCCAATTATCAGTTAAAAGGTTTACAGGCCCATTTTTTACGATTCTGTCTTTTACTTTTTCACCATTAAAATATGTACATAGAGTTCGAGTTTAAAACTGATCTACAATCAAATATGATTATCTTCAGTTGGCTTTAAGATAACTTAATACGTATCTTAGCTTTTCAAGCTCGAAATACTATGAGGATAAACACAAAAGATGCTATTAATTCACAGCATAATAAAAAAAAAGAAACACATGATTAAAAGCAGCGATCAATTCATTATGCAATCTCCATCCATATCCAAGAAACAACCCCCAGAAGGTAATTTGCATCCCAATGAAAAAAAAAAAACCAAAGCCATAAAAATAGTTTTTCAGGGTAGCAAATGGGATTCTCATAATGTACAAGTAGAAAAAAGCATAGTAAATGCTTCGACTCATTAACCCCCAGCCAACCTCCATAGACGTTTTACCCCTAAGCCAAGTACCTAAACATGTTAGGGTTCTCCTTGTCCCTCTCCAAATAATCCCTTGTTATTAGATCCTCCATGCGCTTCTTGATCGCTTTGATATCAGGCTGCAAGAATTACACATATCCAATTTTGAGTTCCACAAAAACTCATCACCTAATAAACTATTTCCATTTGCTTATATAGAACTTACCTTGAACATTCGGCTAAGTTGTTCAACGCACTCAGAAACAAGTTGTTGATGTCCCAATACTTTCCTGCTCTTCATGATCCTCACAATGGCAGCATCAATCGCATAGCGCCTGTCTTTGTCCACGTCTTCCACAACTTTCTTCCTCTCGTCAACAGGTGGGAGAGGGATCTGTGATCATGCAAACCCACAAATGTTAATAATCTAAGATAGTTATTATTTAACACATGAAGTTTTTTTTTTTATGTTACAGACCTTTATCCTCCTCATTCTATCGGTGAATTTGGAGTTGAATTCAAAAGAATCAGCCTGCGAAACAGTCTTTGTGCTTGGCTCCTTGAGAAGAATCTTGTACTTAGCACATGACAAGGAATGAAGCAACCTCACTAGATCTTCATGGCTTAGGTTCAGTTGCGTTAGGATATCAGTGTAGCTCAATTTGTCTGTTGTGTTGAACAGCAAAAGCACAGCAGCCTGAAAGAAAAAACAAGAGATAAAAAACGGTATCAAAAGCCAATTAAATTATAAAGGATCCAATACAGCAACAGCTTTAAAGAAACAAACTATACCTGGTACGTAGACACAACTAACTCAATGGGCTTGTGATCAAACTTCCCGTTGAGGTGACAAGTTCCTAGAGAATAGATCCAGGTAAGTTTCCTATGTTTCGTCTTTGTTTCATAAAACACTTTGAAGACTTCAACACACTTGACCTGAAACAATTAAGTCAATGGGTTTAGCTTAATCTGGAAGCAAAACTTTTTCCTTTTAAGGCAGCATATACAAATATTCAATATAGATTTTACCATTTCAGCGGGTAGATTGATGTCAAATGATTTGTAACTTGGCCAAAAACCAGTGGTAAGAACAGTGACGGTCAAATCAATCCCTGGGTTTGCAGCGGGGTTATTACCAAGATACTCCTCAAAGTTGTTTTGGTTTTCTCTTGCCAATGTCAAATCTGTCACCTGTAACCACAGATCAAATATATAGAAAGTATAAAACATTAGAGTAACAACCGCTTTGAGTCAATAAACATAGGCACACTCAAACTAACCATGCCCTCCATCTTGGAAGTAAACTGCCCACCACATTGTTGCTTGAGCTTTGTCAGGATACTTCTCTCATGATCATCATTAGCACTGCGATCAAATAAGAGCCTACGGGCCAGCTTCTTCCTGCAAAACAGCCATAAACAAAACAGCATGCGGCTTGTCATTCCAGTACTATATTATTGGAAAGATCTTACTAAAGAGCTAGTAAAAAACATTTATTGATAAACAAAAACTAGAAGCTAAACTGGAACCGTGGTTAAGGAAAATATTAGAGTGGGAGGAAAACCTGTAGAACTCGGCGAAAAGATCCTTGTCACTTATATAAGCAAGCAATTTGACCACCTGCACCAAAATAGTAAAATTCAAAATTGATTTCAGGCGGAACTGAAAAATGAAAAAAAAAAAAAAAGCAAACAGTCTGAGCAACCTTCTCAAGGGTATCTTCAATAGCTTCATCGCTCAGCTTTTCACTTCCCCCCTTCTTGAGAATATTGTCACAAAATGTTGCAAGCAATTCAGCACTAGAACTTCCAGCGACTGTTTTGTTACAGAATATCTCAAATGCCTCTTTCAATGCCTACAACAGGTTTTAAGAAACTTCAGTTTAAGCACAGATATATGCATAATAAGATAGACGCATGTCAAGACCGCAGAAAGCACATCAAACCTTGTGGAAGAGGGTGTGGTTCTGGAAACACTCAACGACATAAACCATGTACTTATCATGTAGTTCAATCACTTTTCTGATAAGAACCTGAAAGCAATCAAAGTAAAAGTGAATGACTCAATTCAACATTTTCTTTACTAGTACAATCAGTTTACACGGTTTCTACCTGTTCCTGCACGCTAGCAGTATTTGCAGCATGATTAGTGGCAGTGTCTTCGGCCTGTTGGACAAGTGCGTTACCCTCTGCTGTGACATGCTGTAAACAAATTAAGTTAAAGAGTTGATGTCGAGCAGTGCTTAAAGAGAGTCAAATGGACCCGGGAGAACAGACCAAAGTAATAAAGATAGGTAACAAACCTGCTTAAATATGTTTGCAACAGGTTCCAAACCTTTCACAATTTTATGATAAAGCCTGTACATCCTGGAGAGATCATCAACCTGAATGTACATGAATGATTAATCGAAGTCAGAAATAGAAAGCCTAACTAAGTAACAATAAAAGCAAAGAAAAAGTTGCTCTACCTTGTCATCTCTAAGCAATGCACGGCACCCTGAGTGCTCTTTTTCTAGAAGCTGATTTGCATACACTACCAACAGCTCATGTTGTACTTTCTGCATACAAAGGATTAATACAGAGGTCAAATAGATACCAAGCAATATAATAATATATGCTCGTCTGCAAAAACAGAGTTTGAAAAGATGTCTCTAAAAATAAAGACGCAAAATCATTGCTCGTGTAAGTACAAGCACCAACACAAAATGTTATGCATAACGAACCTCAACCAGCTTTGGCTCACTGCTTGAGTGAAGATAGTGAGCCACTCTCTCTCTCTCCTTCTTAAGACATTCTTCAGACTGCAACATGAAAGTACAAAAGTTAAGAAATGCATTTTACAAATTTGGAATAAAACGCCATTAGAAAATGATATGAAGGGCCATGCCTTCAGCATGTAATCAGGGCAAGAATCTTCTTGGATCCAGCTTGATGCTTTGCGAGAATAGTAAGATGCTGAATCCAAAAGCATGAAGCTTTCAAAATCTTCTTCGTATCTTTCCATCTGTCCCATTCCAATCTCCACATAAATGTCTAATACGTTTTTCAGTAAAGCTCTATCAATCTGCTCGCCTTCCCGTTCTTTATCAACCTGACATAAAATAAAAAACAGATCATGTCAGAGCTGGAATAAGGCAAAACAAGAAGTTGGAGGATAAATGTACATTATAGATGCCAAACTTACAAGTGCTATAACAGCATCTTTGACCTTGGAATGTAACTCCTTATAAACCTGAAACAACAGAATCAACCAAGAGTCAAGACATTCTTGATGCAATGGAAAGTCATAAATAATAAGAACGAATGTCAAACCAGGTCACGGAAGCATGTTAGGCCAACGTCATTAAGGGGTGGAAGTGATCTCCGAGCAATGAAGTAACGGTCAAGATAGTAGAAGAAGCGGGATAGCCATCGAACCATAATTTTATGGTTAGACCATCTCTTAACCAGCTCCCGCAGCATGTACTCATCATGCTTCTCCCTTAGTGCAGGCAAAACCTAATCATCGCAAAGAAGATGACAAAAACAATCAAACCGATTGAACTACTTAAGAATCAAGAGGGTACAGAACTATTACGCACATGAAACCATATACACAAACCGTAAAACCTTTAAGATTCAGAAAATGAGTAAAGCATATACAAAGTTCACTAGTGGTTGAAGAAGATATAATAATATAAATGAATAAGACTCACAGTTGAGTTAATATACTCCTCAAATGCTTCACGATACTTGTCATAAAGCTGCTGTGAGTAATCATGGGGAGGTTTCTGAGTGCACATGTTGTAGATAGTCCTGAGATTAACCAATCACACACAATCCTCAATTATTATCAAATAAACAAACACTGCTCGTAAGGTTAATAAACAAGTATTACAACACGTACGTATAAAGCATCATGTACTGCTCAGAGTCGAACTGCGGCTCAGGCAGACCTTCAAGAATCCGTTTCAGCTTAGTGATACCAGTCTGCATATAGTCCCATCCTTGATCCAAATCAATCGTCTTGCGCTCCATGTTGAAAAGATAACAGTTCTAAATCTCCCCTGAAACGTATCCAATAACACAAAAAAACAAAATTAGGGCACTAAACCACATTACTGAATCCACACAACAAAAAGCTCAAACTAATCAACATATGTACACAAGAAACAACATTCCATAAAATAATCAAGAAATCAAACCCTAACCGAATCTGAAATCTAATCTACGAAGCGTATTCATCAACAGATATACTCAAGAAACAACAATCAAGAGACTAAACGCAATCAAGATAACCCTAACAATCACGATCCCTAACACAAACTCGAAAACTAGGTCAATAGACGAGAGAAAGTAACCGAAACGATTCAGAACAAGCGTTAAATCGAAACGAGTAGATCTTTAAACCCTAATCGGACCCGATTCGAGAAAACCTTGACGATTCCCGATTCAAAAGGATCGGGAGAGATTTTGCGATCAATGGAGAATCAAAATCGTTGTAGAAAAAAACGTAAGATAGAGAGGAAGAGGTCGAGACCTTTGAACGAGAAGAAGAGATATATCTCCGGAAGGCAACGAGCTCTTTCTCTTCTCTATTATACAGGTCCTATAGATTTAATCATTATTTATATTACGGGATCCCTTTATATTAGTATTATTTTAATTTTAAGAAAAATTTATTTGTTATATTTCTCTTTTTTTTTTTCATTAGCCTTTTTCATTTCAAACGCTGCGGTTTTGAGGTTTTTATGCAGGAAGCCTTTCGTCATACTTTGATCCCCTTCTCTACCGTTTTTAATAGAGGTGGAACGGATCGGATATCCGGGGTATTTCAGGATATCCGGATCCGGATCCGGATTCGGCGGATCCGTAAAATTACTATCCGGATCCGGATTCGGGACATCCGGATATCCGGGGTCCGGATATCCGGACTAAAACTCGGATACCCGCGGATATCCGGATCCGGTTTATTTTTTTTTTTTAAAAAAAAAAAAAATCAAAATTCAGTATTTATTTATTTAATTAAAAATTATTATTTTCAAAAAGTTAAATTAAAATAATAGAATTTATTAACAAAATTAAATATTAGTTATATTTAATAAAAATAAATAATATACCTATATAAATATAATTATATTTTAAATATTTTTTAAATATTTAGTGGGCCCGGATCCGGATCCGGATATCCGGACTGAAATTTTCACTATCCGGATTCGGATCCGGATCCGGCCGGATCCGTGAAATCACTATCCGGATCCGGATCCGGACCCCCCGGATATCCGTTTTTTCGGAGCGGATCGGATCGGATCCCGGATCGGATAGCGGATCCCGGATATAAGTCCCAGCCCTAGTTTTTAATATCTTTCTTTTCTATAATTAACTTTTTCGTATTTACTTGTACCATATCTACGGTTATGTTACTTGATTATTTACCTGTGATTACATTTTTAGTTAAAATATTTTTTTTTTAAATGTTTCATACTTTTACATAGTTTAAAATCTATTTACATGATTATCTTTAGTGTTTGTTAGATGGATAACGTTTTTAGGCTTTAAAATCTAGTGTTTAAATTTCACAATATAAGTGACTACATGCCATGTCCATTTTCCATTCTTGGACACCGAAGTTTTATAATTTTATGCATGTACTCATTTATGGTCCATTGAAATCAATAAATATATTTATTTTCGAACATATATAATTGTTGTTCACATTAAAAACTATATAATAATATTTAAAACTATAAGTGTGTAAATATCATAAAATTACAATTATAAAACATTAACTGCAACCCTATCTTTTTATATAAGAGAAATTGTCTAAATTAGCACTTTCATAGTTCCCTATTTTATCTTTCTTTTAATCATACTAGGGATTTTTTCGGGCTATGCCCGGATTTTTGTCTAATAATTTTTATTTAATTTACGTAATACCTATATATTTTGGCCATGTTATATAAATATTAATTATGAATAATATTCAGAAAATATTCTCTAAAACTATATAGGCACGTGTATTTGGTGTATCGGTTTGATCTGGTTTATTTTAGTTTTCGATTCTTGGTTCTCGAATATAGGACCCTGTTAGGTATTTAGGAAATTCAGTTTGATTTTGGTTCATTTATTTTGTTTTTAATATTCAGCTTGGATAATAAAGTTAGAAACCGGGTAATATTCAAGATAATTTCCGATCTAATCCGAATTTTGTTTAGTTTCAGTCATTCGATCAATTTGGATTAAAAAGTTAAAAAAGGTTTCAGAATAAATATAATATTTTGGGGTTTTTGAATACGCTGATAAGTTAAAATATTTTTGGATGAAAAATATTTGGATAATTCGGTTTATAATTATATTGGTAAAGTAAGATTTGTCTATGAGAACGGAACAATCTATAGCGTGTTTAAAAAATAATTATAGCACAAATTATTTTCAAAAAATTATTATTACTATATAAATTAAATTAATATTTTGGATTCAACATTTGACTTGGAACATGTCTTAACATGTAATGATATAAAATTATAATATGACAATATGTCAATATACATGCGAGAGAATCAGTTATGTATCATTCAGAAAATGTATCAATTTTAAATTTTAAATCTTTTATTTATATTCAGTATTTTAAAATCTGATTCAGATCCGCGCCCGAATCGTAAACCTGATATCCGATAGATAAATTTGTTTGAATTTTAGAGAAACGTCATTATATAAAAACCAAACAAAACGATTAAAACCCAAAACTCGGTTATTGGTTAACCTTTGATTGATCCAATACATAACTTTACTTGTGTGTTCTTAGATTTTTATAATTACATTATTACAATTTGTTTTAGATTCTAATTAAGAAGTTAGATTTTCATTTTTTTTACTATTGTTTTCCACTGGCAATTTTGTATACAACCTTTATAGTTCTATTTTATCATTATAACTTTTCATGTTGCCTTTGCTTTTATCTCCCGAAGCGTAAATATTGCTACTAATTCTGATTTTTTTTAATGATTATCCAATCCATTTTAACAATTGGAGGCCCAAAACTATATTAGTCTGAGTTTCTACCGATTATTTTGGTTAATTAAAGAACCAAAATTACTAAACTAATTCTTCGAGATATTATGTAGGTTATATAGTATCCACTTTATAAAATTACTAGATAAGGTCCGTGTGTTGCAACGGGTTTTGTTTGATGTTTTAATTTAATAAAAAACATAATAATAATAATTTAATTATAGATTTAGGATTTTTTTTTTGTATGAGTTGTGTAAGATCTATTTTATAGTTACAAACTCATTAATAGAATTAGAATTGAAAAATATATCTTCCTAACAATAAAATTAGAATAAATTTTCAGAGGACATGTGGTGTCTGATTACAAACATCTATTTACTCCATATTATTTATACTAGATCTTTTGGCCGCGCTATGCGCGACTAGTCTGTTAGACAAAATTGCAATAATATTGTATATATATAATATATTGTATAATTAAACTCATAATTAAAAACAGAAGAAACTAATATTAAATTTAATAGAAAATGATAACGATTGACAAAATCATTGTAGTTAATGCAAGTAAGAGTTTCATAAGTAATACTAATTTATAAATATTCTCAATAGATATTCACAATTTATTAAATTTTATTATTATATATTATTTAGTTTTAAATTACTATCTTTAAGAAAATACAATCAAGTTACTATGCTATTATTAAAAATGAATTTTTATATACCAATTAGAGGAGTTTTGGATATATTTGTAGTCCAAAATATGTTCCAAAAAACAATATTTTATTCTTATTTTTTAACTTCCGATAAAAACTTTCTACAATCTTGTACTAATATCACAAATTGAAAATATAAATTATTTCTAATTTGATGTAGTCTTATTATTTAATTTCAATTAAAAATAGTGATTTAGACTATTAGTTTGTTTTCTTACTTCGTGTCTTCAATATTTGTTTTGTTAAACTTTATTTTTTATTTTATTTTTGTGAACAGAAATTTTAATACGTTTGTTGGCCGTTATTGTTTGGAGGCCAAAGCTCATCAACTGGATTTTTTTTTAATCTTGTGTGGTTCAGTGGTTCTTTCATTCTACTTCTCTTTGTTAAAAGCCAAGTCTTTCTTTTGTTGGTTTCTTTGCAATTGTTTTAGATCAAAGATGTAATTCCTGTGAAATGCCAAGTATGGTAAGAGTACAAAGAACTCTGCAATAAACTAACATGGTAGAATTGAGAGAAAACATTTCTCACGATAATAACACGACCATGTTCTGCATATTAGAATTCCAAACTGTATCACAAATAATTTGTCAACATGATTTACTCACTGAGCTAGTTTGAGTCTATGTCCTCTCTAGTGTGCCCAAAGCCTTGGTTACATTTTCAACGCCTTCTTTAGCTTCTTTACCATCTTCCTCTCTCTTTCTGGAAAGTCTTCCAAACACAACATCATGGACTTCTTTATGAGCGATCTCTACTTTGTCTTCTCCGACAGATTCATCATCACACTCTTCAGGAAGTTCAGTACCTTTCACATTCCATGTCACAAGCGCACAAACCCCAGTTTTCTTACACCATCTTTTGATGTAATTGTGGTAGACATTGGGGACATGAGCCTCTTCAATGCTGCCATTTCATCTTTTGGCTAACCTGCTTTATTCCGCTGGTGTTTTGCCTCCTCCACATCTACCATCTTGTATTTTTTTTTTGTCGTGTTCTGTAAATGAAATGAGTCTAAAACAAAAATATCAAATGCGGTCACGTCAGTCAGCTTCCAACTGTCAAAAGTACAACAAATGGATATTCAGAATTGACCAAAAAAGTTGCTTGTGAGCTGAAAACAAAGGAAACCATCGCAAAAACACATGACTGTAAGATTATAGAGAGCAAATCTGAATGTAACCTGCGGAGACGCTTCTCTTGATCCGAAGCATTTCTCTATGTGTCATCTTTCCCACGTTGCACCTAAGACTCGTGCCACTTGGTGTTACAGAAACTTCCAAACCAACTTCTTCCTCTTATATAGTAACCAACTCCAAACTTATATATTAATCATACTATATATATATATATATATATATATATATATATATATATATATATATATATATATATATCCCATTGTATACACTGAAATAAGCTGGATTCATTAGATTCTCTGATTCCAAGTGACAACAACAAAGGGACGACAGAAGATAATCATATATTATAGTGAAATTTGTATATGTGCATTGTTGTTTGTTTTTCTTGTTGGTTCACAGCTGCACCAACTTTTTTATCTGACCTCCTCTCCCACACATGCGTGATTCCACATACTTTATATATGCAATGAGTAATGCCTTAAAAATTCAGTCACAACACATAACGGAAAATTCATATGGAATAAAATAAACCCATACAAACCAGCTATAGAAAAACGAAAAAAGAGTAACACAAACAATGAAAAGTTTCAAAACTTTGGTCTACTAAAAGCTGAATAAAAATGAAACGTTACCTTTTTCTAGAAGATCCTAAACGTTACCTTTTCCTCAAAACAGGTGGAAACTTTGATAAATAATAACTTCTCTACAATGAACCAGTAGAAATGCATTACAGGAAATGGATCCATACCTCATGAAGAACATCACTCATAGTCGTCTCTGAAGCTGCAACCCTTGGCCTAAATAATTGACAGTGTCTGGTTGCCATTTTTCATTCCAACATCAAGCTCAAGAATAAAATGCCCATCATCCTATACCCCAACTGAAAAGAACGTCAAAAACAGAAAATCAATTGAATAAGGTTGGAGCTTTTGCTTATGATGAAACTAATAATATAGATATACCGAGTTTAAACAAACAACTAAACCCTGAAATCATCAAACCCCTATGAGAAAGATGTTATAAGTCAAACTATTGACCAAATCAGATTGTAGTGAAAATGCTTTAGTTATTGAATTCTAGAGAGGACAGGTAAAGAGCTTATGGTTGTTTCAAAATCATTAGATAGAGGCTGAGTATAATCTTTCGTCAAAAAAAGAAGAGGTTATATCCAGAGATTTGTCAGAAACTTACTCACAAAAAACATATTCGTCCTTGGGGTGCTCCTTCAAAATGGCACAATAATCTTTCGTCCGGGTATTAAAAAAAATATTGCGGCAGTTGTAAAGTCAGAAAAGTAAAGAGCTAAAAATTGCCATAGCCTGAGATTCTTAAAAGGAGGTTTCTGAGTTTGGTTCGAAGTAAATCTCTATGAAGATATGGGAGGATTTTATATATGAGGAGAAAGAGAGGAAGGTAGAACGAAACAATGAAGATGAGATTTAATAGCGTCATTGATTAATGAAGATGATGATGCAGTAACGGAGTTAATCGAAGCCGGTGAAGCTGAAGCTTAAGAGTCGGGATTGAGAAGATCATCTCCACGCTTAAGCATTAATGGGCTTGAACTGGTTGTTTTTAAATTTGTAGTCTATCTCTGGATAGCCCAAACAAAGACCCAATTTCTTTCTTCTTTGGACACAAACAGTTATGACGTGGATGAGTAGAGCCATATTATTGGTCAAATATAAATGTCTACGTGGACATGGTAAGAAGACTTTATTAAGCCCTTTTACTAGTGTATGATATCCGATTACATCTGTAACAAAATCGTGTTATACAATAATGTTATTTCAAGAAAAAATCGCTAAATACCCAATCAATTGATTAAAATATACAATGTTCGACAACCAAATTGATACAAAAAAATTGTTATAAAATCATGAATATTACCATATAAATTGTATGGAATCTTTTAGTTGAGAAAAATCTTCACAGTTCCCAAAAGAAAATTCGCAGAAGGTGTTTGAGGTAATTGTTTCTTCACACTTATACTTGTTCTTTTGGTTAATCTTTGAGAGTTTGTTAATTTTATTGAATTTTACAAATTAAAGTTGCAGATTTCAATAAGATTCCTTCACGTAACCATCTCCCAACTTTTCAATAAGATAATAATGCACATAATCTTGAATAGTATTTTCCTACATAACAAACAAATTATTTTTAAAAATGAAATTATATAAGATTTTTAATAAATAAAATATTTACCTTCTCATCAAGTAAGAGAAAATTCATTCCTATAAGCTCATTATTCTTGTTTAAATTTCTTGCTTCCGGTTTCTAGTAAGACGTACTACAGTACGATGGTAAAGAAGTTTTTTATTTAACTTATCTAGTGTTAAATAACTTTCTGAAGCTATTGTTTATTGATAAGATTTCTGGTAGCAAATTGAATTATGCTTTCAGTTAGAAATTATAAATAGAACGAACACACAAGCATAAATTTTTTATTTTTTATTTTTTATTTTGGCAACAACTTAAACAGACTCAAACTGACTCTGTAAACCATAATGGTAACTCCCCATCCATGTGAACGACAAATGACGGCTGTTTCCTGGCGCTGCGTGCTAGACTATCTGCCTTCTTGTTATGCGTTCGTGGTACCTAAATGATCTCAGAGCTGAGGAATTAATACTTCTCAGAGTGATTTTATGTCTTCTAAATAACTTGCAAACGCAGGTCATTCTTGTGGTTCTGGCACCATCTTCACCAATTGAGAACAATCTGTTGCAAACGTAACCCAAAACTGACGTAAATTCCTCATGCACTCCATCACCCATATTAAAGCCTCAACCTCAGAATGAAGGGGCGATAGACTAGCCCGAGTGTTTCTTGCACCCATCAAGCTGTCAAAAACTTCTAACGTATTATACCATCTTTGTCCTGAAAAAGCTTCCTTATCCTTCCATGATCCATTTGTGAAACACCACCTCCCTGGAATAACCGGTATATTGACTTCACCCGCCTGTTGTACCGTCCTCTGTTCTCGCAAAGCTTGTGCCTCCGTCCAGAGTATTGTGATTTTGGTGGAAACTCTCAGCTTTGCGATTTTTTCAGAAAATCTCGGTTCTGCAATTTTGAAAGAAAATCTCGATTTTGCGATTTTAACGGGAAATCTTAGTTTTGAAATTTTGGAAGGAATCTCGATTTTGAGATTTTGGCGAGAAATCTTGATTTTACAAATTTTGGCGGAAAATCTCAAGTTTTACGATTTTTGCGAGAAATCTCGGTTTTGCGATTTTGACGGAAAATCTTGGTTTTGCCATTTTGGCAGAAATCTCGGTTTTTTGATTTCGGCTGAAATCTCGATTTAGCGATTTTGGCGGAAATCTTGGTTGTGCGATTTTAGCAAGAAATCTCGATTTTGCGATTTTGGCGGGAAATCTCAGTTTCACTATTTTTGGCGGAAAATATCGAGTTTTGCGATTATTGTCGGAAATCTCGATTTAGCATTTTGACGGAAAATCGCAGTTTTGCGATTTTGATGGAAAATCTCGGTTTTGCGATTTTGACGGAAATGTCGGTTTTGCAATTTTGACAAAAATCTTGATGTTACTATTTTGGCGGAAAATCTCGGGGTTTGTGATTTTGGTAAGAGAACTCGGGTTTTATTATTTTTGCGGGAAAACTTGGATTTTGTGACAAAAAAAAAATTGATTTGGCAAAAACACTTTTGATTTTGAGAGAAATCAAATGACAAAATTTTGGAAACCTAATTTTTTATGACCATTGGGTGGACCATGTCCATATTGTCCAAACCCATTATAGCCTATTGTCCAATGGTCTAACGATTTTTGTCCTTTAAGATCCACATGGATAAATATAAATGAGTGTTAATAAAATAGACCCATTTACATATGGACATGGACAACCAATGGCCAGTCCACCCATTTGACAGCTATAACCTTCCCAGATAAATAGGGCTACCAAGAAAGTCTCTCGAAGAAAAGCTGATGCAGCAGGCTGAAGAGGATTGTAGAGAGCAACCAAGGCGGGGCCAATAATCTCATCGGACCAAGTAAAGAGTCCATAGTTTTGGTGCTTATGCGATAACTCCAAAGAGAAGATAAACCAAAAAAGTTATTGGTGCAGCTTACGGCATAGATAGCTGCAAGAATTTCAGAATGTGTTAGTCTCCAATATAATGGCTCCTTTACCATAAAGAAAGTTGTTGTGACCATTAGTACTGTACCGAAGAAGTATGACAATGCAGTAACTGAAAGATTTGCCGGATCCTTCTTCAAAACCGGTGGCGGGAGAGTTTCCATTACATCCACATTAAAAGACACATGCACAGAGGTTAGTCGGCGACATACGGGTTTATCAAAACTTAACCAAAGAAGCTGAAACAATCACCTGAATGTCAAGAAAAGCAGCCATACACATGCAGTTTCCAATCAAACACAAGACACCGATGTGCCATTGCCCAAACCCAAGATTGTTAAAGCCAGTGACTAACCACTTAGTAGGCTCAGATTGACATTTACCACTGATTTCATGGTTCATTGTAAAGTCTGCATCTTTGTCTCCTAATAAAGCCGGACCTCGAAATAAAACCATAGATATGGCACCCATAACACACACAAGTGTTCCTCCGACCTTAGCTTGGCCTTAGATTCTCAACAAATTCACTCTTTGTGTACTGCATACAAAGCATGATACATTAAAAAAAGCTGAAAAGTGAAAGGAAATTTAAGAGGAGTTTTTAAAAAAAAAAACATACTCACCCCATATTTACAGCCAAGAGAAAGGTAAAGACTGGGATTGATGGTTGAATGACAGCAGCATAAGTAGGATTTGTGTATGTAAGACCGGTAAGAAACTACAACTGGTTGCCAAATACCCTATAAGATTCTGGATAACATAGAGGTAGCATTAGCAAGATGTTTACTTTGACATAAACATGATTATATCGAGAACCATAGAGAGATGATTCCTTACCCTGCTGAGCCAAGAAAGAAGAATTACAAGAGAAGGCTTTTGTTCATCAGAGTTCTGATCTTTCTGCATACACAAAAGATGAAACAATGTTCCTTGATTAGGTTTTGAATACTTAAAATATTAATCACAATAAACCCTGCAAAGCTTGAGAGTTACAACCTCCCACTCTATTCATTCATTTCCTGATAGGTTATCAGGGGAAATATATTACAGTACTACAGAATTAGATTGACAAACCAGATCCTGATTTCAAATGTAGTTATCAAAAATAGTACAACAAATCTACTAAACAGTACTAGAACATGATCAGAAACGCAATTACTTCCTGGATCAAACCTTTCATCCATCCATTCTCTTGAATCAAAGTAGAAAGACATTGTGTGTTTTAAAATTTTCAGAGAGAATCATGAGCTCAATCTTTCTCTCGGGAACTTTGATTATTAAAGTAAGCCACGGTAAAGCCACGAAAATACCGTGACTTCGTCACTTTCGTCGATCTATGTCGGCACAAAACACCAAAAACAAATAAGCCATGAAGAAACCATGGCAAAAATCGTGGCTTTGTATGTCGGCAGAAAAAAAAAGCCTTTCCACTGCAGCTTTCGTGGAAAAAGCGTGGCTCGTTGTTTCTAGCATGAAATAACCGTAGCTGTTTCGTGGCTCTTTAGCCACGTTTTATTTGTGTGGCTAAAACGTAGCTTATTTTCGTCTTCTTCAAGGCTTATTTTGTTCGTGGCTCTTGTGCGGATGTATCGTGGTTTTTTACTTTTAGCCACAGTTTTGTAGTGGCATTCGCGTGGCTATGCGGTAGAATTTTACTAGTGGTTTTCAGAACAGTAAATATACTTTTCCGGCGGATTCATGCAATGCCTTCTCGCATATGCCATCGGGTAGAGATGGTAGTTGCCAGGGCCGGCCCTGAAAAATTAGGGGCCTGAAACAAAATAAAAAATGGGGGCCTATATATTATATATAAAAATATAATAAAACTTATAAAAGAGTAAAAAAAGAATAGTTAAAGTGAAACAACTTTTTTATATTTATAGGTGATCTTCTGAAGAAAGAAAACAAAAGAAGTGTTTTTAGAAAAAAAATTTAGCATAGAAAAAAAATGTTAATCAAATTTTTTAGTTTTATAGATTGTTATTTGAAAATCTATTGGGTCATTATATTATTTGGCCCAATCAGTTAAACATTCATAAAATCATAATGTATCTAAAGCCCATATGATTTTTTTCTATATTTATGGGTTTATATATTTGGACTTTTATTTTATTTGGGGACCTATGAAAATGGGGCCCTGAGGCCAATGTTTCATTGGGTTTGGCCCAGGCCCGGCACTGATAGTTGCAAGCAGTTTTGGAAGGCTGGAGATTATGAAGGAGCGCCTGGTGGTAATTGGGATCTTTCTTCAGGTAACACACAAAGCAGAGAACTTCTTGTGCCTTTTTTGTTCTCTTACATGTTACAACACAATGTCTGAATTATTTAACATGGACTGGTACATGTTCCAACTGTGTATGTGTGTCTTAGGTGGCTTTGATCATGTAAGAGTTTATCCAAAGTTCCTACATTCTAATGCTACCAGTCACAAATGGGCTCTTCGAGGTCTTCTTTTGTTATCTTTAATCTCCCTCTAATTTAAATTTGAGCTTGTTTCTAATTTTTAATAACCTGTTTTTATTTGTTCTTTTATGCAGCTTTTGCAGAGCTTTTGGACAATGCTTTGGACGAGGTGTGTTTAATTTTCCTAACGTTACACGGACCTGTCTGCATTGGCTTCTACTTTGTACTAATGGCTTCGTCATTGTGATCAGGTTGCCAGTGGAGCTACTTATGTTAACGTAGACATGCTTGAAAACAAGAAAGAAGGAAAATTGAGGGTATATATTTGATCCTAGCACATTCTTATAGATTCTCTGTCCTTATTTTATTCATGTACAAGCTTCCTCATGTTTTAAAATGCAGATAATGGAGGTGGGATGGATACTGAGAAAATGAGACAATGCATGTCTTTAGGATACTCTGCCAAAAGCAAACTAACACCATTGGACAATGTAATTATTCTTTTGCCAGCCCCAATGATAGTTATATGTTTTGAGGAAAAAAAATGCTTATTTCATTTACTCGTAATAGATGGTAATGATTTTAAGACAAGTACAATGAGACTTGGAGCTGATGTCATTGTATTCTCACGCTGCCCTGGAAAAGATAGAAAGAAATTAGTTTTTCTTTTAACAATTTGTTACTCCTTAAAGGCTTATAACGTTCTGTTATAGTTATTTTTTAAACTTTATGTTGGTTTTAGCTCTACGCAGAGCATTATGGAACTCAGCAGGAGCTTCCAGATTGCAAGCCAATTCTACTCCAAGCTGGGTGAGTTAACTATCACATTCTCTTAACCTCATAACTGCTATGTTACGATATATTTAAAAAAAAAAAAGAATGTTACTTTCTAACTGTTCATTGCTATTTCGCAGGTGATATTGGCATTTCTTGTTGCTGGAGTTGTCTTCATTCCCCTAGGAGTCATCTGCCTATTTGCTTCTCAGGGAGTATGTGCATTAGACTAATGTTTTCTGTCTTTTTCTTATGTTTGTTTCCTAGCTTATTGAGGATGTGTTTCATTATCATGCATGAAGGTCGTTGAGATTGTTGATCGATATGACACATACTGCGTTCCAGAATCTTCTAGGGGAAACAAGGTCGCTTACATACAGGGTCGAGGAGATAAGATGTGTAACCGAACAATAACGGTAGTCATATTCTTCTCTATGTGTATATATTAGCTGTTCTCTTAGCATATGTCTCTGTTCTGCAGGTCGCAAAAACTATGAAGCATCCTGTCTATGTATACTATCAACTTGAGAATTACTACCAAAACCATAGACGGTAATGTCATGAGGGCATCCCCCACAGGTTGACCAATTTATGTGATTTTAAATCATCTTTTCCGTAGTGTTTTCCAGCCGTAGAAACAATTGAATAAAGTTATATACCCTAGAAAACATGTAAATTTAGTTTCTATGCAATGTATCTCTTTTCTAAATTGTATCACAAGTCATGGCATATACAACCATAAATATAATTATCTTTCTTTAAAAAATGTGATTTCGTATTTTTGTATATGGTACCATGGTGGGAGGGGGGGGGGGGGGAAGCAATCTTATTATATAAAATTTGGTTCTTCAAAGTTACTAATTAACACGATCGCGACACATGTCAGTTATATATCTCAGATTGTGACATGTGTTAATATTACTTTTCCTTTTGTAAAGTCATTAAAAAATAGAATTGTAAAAAATATTTGATAGTAATTTTCCTTTTTAAAATCTTTTAAAATTTTAAACCAAAAATTATAAAGAGTGTTTAATGTTAATTTTCGTTTATTCAAATCCTAATTAAAAGATCATAAACCAAAAAAGAACTATCATTATTCACATATTAACATATTTTAAAAAAAACAAAAAATAATATAATTTTCGTTTTTAAAAATCTTATACCGAAAACGATCTGTACAAATAAATTATTGAATACTAATTTTACTTTTCCAAAATTATAAAGAAAAAATAATTGTAAAATAAATTTGAAAGTAATTATCCTTTTTAAAAATATTAAACCAAAAAATTGTAAAAGAGTGTTTAATGTTTATTTTCTTTTATTCAAATACTAATTAAAAAGACAATAACCCAAAAAAAATTATACTTATTCATATATTAACAAGTTTTTTTGAAAAAGTAATAGTAATTTTTCGTTTTTACAAATCCTATACAAAAACAATTTGTAGAAAAAGTTATTTAATACTAATTTTCCTTTTCTAAAATCATAAAGAAAAGATTAATGTTTAAAAATTCATAGTAATTATCCTTTAAAAATTTTAAAAGATAATTTTAAAAGAGTGTTTAATGTTAATTTTCTTTATTCAAATTCTAATTAAAAAGATCATAAACCAAAAAGGAATTACAATTATTCATATATATATATATATAAGACTAATCTCATTCATATTTTGCCATTTCTCATATTTGATCACCAAACATAATTATTGATTTAAGAAAAATATTAAGTGAGTTTTTTGCATGATCTTTCACATTTTCGCGTGTTATTTTTTTTAGTTATGATGATGTACAACGTAAGTTAACGTCTGTTTATGCTTATGTGTGTTTGTTTGTATTGACCATGGTTATGCTAGGTAAGTTAGTGGCAATGCCAAGTTACTACTTTAATACGTTTATTTATGGTTGTGTGTGATTTACACTTTCTACAAAACCGAGATTTCTCGCCAAAATTGCAAAGCCGAAATTTCCCACCAAAATTACAAAATCGAGTTTTCGACCAAATCACAAAATTGAATTTTACCGTAAAAATCACAAAATCTTGTTTTTCGCCAAAATTAGATTAAAAACATAATGATGTTTTGAATATTTAAATGACCTAGCAAATTTGAATTGGCTAATTTCAAAGCTGCCTAGCCTCGTAGACATCAAGGACCTTGGCTAACTTAGCCTCTTCTTCTGCAACAACGGCTTGGTCTGTGCTCAAGCCATATAGTGCTTGAACAATTGTTCCCAAGCAAGCTTTGAAGCTGCTGGGTCGAACTGGTGAGCTTCTACTTCCATTTTAATGGACATTAT